TGGCTACTGTTGTTGTGGTGGGTTCAGTAGAGGTGGTAGTGGTGGTGGTTGTGACTGTAGTCTCAGTAGAAGTGACAGCAGATGTCGTGGCCAACTGTTCAGTTGTAGTGCCAACTGTTGTTGTGGGGATGGGTTCAGTAGAGGAGACAGTGCTGGCTGCAGTGGTTGTAGTCACAGTGGAGGTACCTGTACTTGTGGTGGCAGGTTGTTCAGTTGCAGAGCTGGCTGTCGTTGTGGTGGTAGGTTCAGTAGAGGTGGTAGTGATGGTGGCTGTGGTTGTAGCCTCAGTGAAAGTACCTGCAGTTGTGGTGGCAGACTGTTCAGTTGTAGTGCTGGCTGTTGTTGCAGTGGTGGGTTCAGTAGAGGTGGTAGTCATGGTGGCTGTGGTTGTGGCCTCAGTGGAAGTACCTGCAATTGTGGTAGCAGACTGTTCAGTTGTAGGGCTGGCTACTGTTGTTGTGGTGGGTTCAGTAGATGTGGTAGTGGTGGTGGTTGTGATTGTACTCTCAGTGGAAGTGCCAGCAGTTGTGGTGGCAGACTGTTCGGTTGTAGTGTCAACTGTTGTTGTGGGGATGTGTTCAGTTGAGGTGGTGGTGGTGATGGTCGTGGTCATAGCCTCAGTGGAGGTACCTGCAGTTGTGGTGGCAGACTGTCCAGTTGTAGTTCTGGCTGTTGTTGTGGTGGTGGGTTCAGTAGAGGTGGTAGTGGTGGTGACTGTGGTTGTAGCCTCCGTGGAAGTACCTGCAGTTGTGGTAGCCAACTGTTCAGTTGTAGGGCTGGCTACTGTTGTTGTGGTGGGTTCAGCAGAGGCAGTAGTGGTGGTTGTTGTGATTGTACTCTCAGTGGAAGTGCCAGCAGTTGTGGTGGCAGACTGTTCAGTTGTAGTGCTGGCTGTTGTTGTGGCTATGGGTTCAGTTGAGGAGGTGGTGGTGGTGGTTGTGGTCGTAGCCTCTGTGGAGGTACCTGCAGTTGTGGTGGTAGACTGTCCAGAAGTAGTGCTGGCTGCTGCTGTGGTTATAGGTTCAGTAGAGGTGGCAGTGGTGGTAGTTGTGGTAGCAGCCTCAGTGGAGGTGCCCGCAGTTGTAGTGTCTGACTGTTCAGTTGTAGAGCTGGCTGTTTTTGTGATGGTGGGTTCAGTAGAGGTGGTAGTCGTAGTGGCTGTGGTTGTAGCCTCAGTGGAAGTTCCTGTAGTTGTGGTGGCAGCCTGTTCAGTTGTAGTGCTGGCCATTGTTGTGGTGGGTTCAGTTGAGGAGGTGGTGGTGGTGGTTGTGGTCGTAGCCTCTGTGGAGGTACCTGCAGTTGTGGTGGTAGACTGTCCAGAAGTAGTGCTGGCTGCTGCTGTGGTTATAGGTTCAGTAGAGGTGGCAGTGGTGGTAGTTGTGGTAGCAGCCTCAGTGGAGGTGCCCGCAGTTGTAGTGTCTGACTGTTCAGTTGTAGAGCTGGCTGTTTTTGTGATGGTGGGTTCAGTAGAGGTGGTAGTCGTAGTGGCTGTGGTTGTAGCCTCAGTGGAAGTTCCTGTAGTTGTGGTGGCAGATTGTTCAGTTGTAGCATTGGCTACTGTTGTTGTGGTGGGTTCAGTAGAGGTGGTAGTGGTGGTAGTTGTGACTGTAGTCTCAGTGGAAGTGACAGCAGTTGTCATGGCAGACTGTTCAGTTGTAGTGCTGGCTGTTGTTGTGGCTATGGGTTCAGTGGTGGTGGTTGTGGTAGCAGCCTCAGTGGAAGTGCCTGCAGTTGTAGTGTCAGACTGTTCAGTTGTAGAGCTGGCTGTTTTTGTGGTGGTGGGTTCAGTAGAGATGGTAGTGGTGGTGGCTGTGGTTGTAGCCTCAGTGGAAGTTCCTGTAGTTGTGGTGGCAGACTGTTCAGTTGCAGCACTGGCTACTGTTGTTGTGGTGAGTTCAGTAGAGGTGGTAGTGGTGGTGGTTGTGAATATAGTCTCACTGGAAGTGCCAGCAGTTGCAGTGGCAGACTGTTCAGTTGTAGTGCTAGCTGTTGTTGTGGCTATGGGTTCAGTAGAGGTGGTAGTGGTGGTGGTTGTGATTGTAGTCTCAGTGGAGGTACTTGCAGTTGTGGGGGCAGACTGTTCAGTTTTAGTGCTGGCTGTTGTTGTGGCTATAGGTTCAGTAGAGGTAGTAGTGGTGATTGTGGTTGTAGCCTCAGTGGAGGTACCTGCAGTTGTGATGCCAGACTGCTCAGTTGTAGAGCTGCCTGCTGTGGTGGTGGTGGGTTCAGTAGAGGTGATGGTGGTTGTCGTTGCAGTTGTAGCCTCAGTGGAAGTGCCTGTAGTTGTGATGGCAGCCTGTTCAGTTGTAGTGCTGGCCATTGTTGTGGTGGGATCAGTAGAGGTGGTAGTCATGGTGGTTGTGGTCATAGCCTCAGTGGAGGTACCTGCAATTGTGGCAGACTGTTCAGTTGTAGTACTGGCTGTTGTTGTGGTGGTGGGTTCATTAGAGATGTCAGCGGTGGTGGCTGTGGTAGCAGCCTCAGTGGAGGTGCCCACAGTTGTGGTGTCAGAGTGTTCAGTTGTAGTGCTGGTTGTTCTGGTGGTGGTGGGTTCAGTAGAGGTGGTAGTGGTGGTTATTGTGGTTGTAGCCTCAGTGGAAATGCCTGTAGTTGTGATGGCAGACTGTTCAGTTGTAGTGCTGTCTGTTGTTATGGTTGTGGATTCAGCTGAGGTGATCATGTTGGCTCTTGTCGTTCTTGCTTCAGTGTAACTGCCTATAGTTGTGGTGGCAAACTGTTCTGCTGTAGTGGTGGCTGATGTTTTGGTTGTGGGTTTAGGAGAGGTGGTAGTGGTGGCTGTTGTGATTATAGCCTCTGTGGAAATTCCTGCATTTGTTGTGGCCTTGGCTTCAGTTGAAGTGGTGGCTAGTGATATTGTAGTTGCATTTGAAGTGTTAGTGGAGTTCATTGTGCTGGTAGGTTCTATAGAAGTGCTTGCAGTGGTTCTCATGATAGCAGGCTTAGTTGAAGTGGATTTTGTGGTAGAATTTATTATCATAGTGGTAACTGTAGGTTGAGAAACTGTAGATAAGGTTATTCCAGTGGCAGATGAGGTTGTTCCATGGCTTTGGGGAAATTGGATAACAATAGAGGCATTATTATTTTTCCCATTATACACCAGGGATACTATGAGTACTCCAATTGCTGTTGTTATCAAACAGGCTAAGAGACAAGCGAGAAAGGTTTTCCATAGAGACCAGTCACAGAAGAAATTTCGTTTCACCTGGAACAGATTTTTAAAAAATTACTGAAGATTAAAATAAATATTTTGTGAAAAATTAATGCTACTGTTTATCCTTTTTATATTATGTTTTCTTCTAGTGATTTGATAGTTTCAAGTCTTACACTCAAGTGTTTTGCCATTTCATGTTGGTATTTGTATATGATGAGTGATAAGAGTCCAATTTCCCTCTTTTTCAAGTGGACATTCAGTTTTCCCAACACCATTTTTGAAAAGACTCTTCTTCATTATGTGTTCTTGACATCTTTGTTGAAACCAATCGATCATAAATGTGTGGATTTATTTCAAGACTCTGCCTTCTTCAATTGATCTGTCTTTTTTAGTGCCAATACTGTCCTGTTTCAATTACTACAGCTTTGTAGATTTTGAAATAGATTATCTCATTGAAGGTATAAATGAAACCAACTTTGCAAAAATTATAACAATGAGGAAATCATGATAGTGAAAGAGATGTGATCTAATCAACCAACTTCTTGCTTTTAACCTCCAAACTGTCCTTACTAATTCCTGGGCATAATAGGCCTTCCCCAAAACTAAACTGCCTTTGTAAAGCTAATGAAAGACCACCAGGTGAGGAGAATGAGAGGAGCCTGAATTCTGCTGAGATGTAGATATAAATGATTATCTGTCACTTTTCTGGAGATCACAAGATTTGCAACTTCCCCAATTACTCCTGCAGATACCTTCACTATTGTAGCACCTAAGATTGGTCTTTTCAGATATTTTTTCAGGTTTTTGAATTTCTGATGACTGATGGCTCCAACTGGTCCTATAGCCCCACCTGGAAGCAACTTCAGTGACCACGAGGACCATTTCCTGCACTCCTATGATTGCCCCCCCAACCAAGCAGTAGCACCAATTCCCTAGCCACCTCTCCTTCTCCCAAACTATGTTTGAAAAACTCTAGCTTCCAAATTTGGGGGGAGGTGGATATGAGTAATAATAAAACTCTGGTCTTCCATTTAGCCAGCTCTATATGTTAAAACTCTTTATTGCAATCTCCCTGTCTGACAAATTGGTTCTATCAAATCAGTGAGCAGGAAGAGCCTATTGAGCATAAAACATGAACACAAAAGCTATTTTAAATAACAAACACTGGGCCCAAATTTTAATTTTTATTAGGAAAAACCTTGTACTTTGGTTTTCCTTAATGTTCAAAGAAATTTCCACTGATCTCTCATGCTTTCTCATTTTCATGAACGTCTTTCCAAATTAAAAAACAATAAATATCTTCTTAGAAACTCTTTACACTTCCCAGGGTATAGAAACCATCTAAGTCAAGGTTGAAAGCATATGAGGTCAGGGCTACAGAAAGCCCACAGTTAGGCTCAGAGCACACAGGAAGGCAGAGTGAGAGAGATCATCCACAGATTAGGGCCTGGGACCTCAATACATGACTTCATCTTCCACCTGAGCAAGGTTTACAAACAACATCATTCACTGCCGATGTATTTGCTAGGTTGCCACCTAGTCAATACTTCAAAAATAAAAGCCTCTAATTTTTATTTTCTTTGACCTGCACATATTTTCTCTAAACTCCTTGTATGTCTTTATCTTTCTATCAAGATCATTAACTCCTTAAACAAACAGCCCCATAAATCTTCTCCCTCTCCTATATTCCCTCTCAGTGACTTAACATTTTCAAAGGATTTCTCAAAAGAAAAATGTTAATGTTAATTGACTGAATTTTTTTCCTCCAAATATTGGATCAAGAGTATTTCCATGTGGATTATATCTTAATCCAGAAAACAGTGTTGTCCCAAGTATTACCTGACAATGTTGGAATTCTCTGTTTAGAAATTCAGAGTGTTCAAGGGTCGCTGGGCTGGTGCAGACAGCACTTAAATTGGTACCAACATCACCAGTTATTTCCACTGATGTAGAGAACTGACATGCTGAATTGTGAGCTTCATGGTTTCTTGGGCTCAGGAAAGCCTATAGGTGGAAAAGAACGGGAAAAAAACGTAAATCATATACTGCTTTTAGTTAGTACCCCATCTTTTCAGAGATAACCACTCTTACTTCTGTTGCCACAGCTTAGTTTTGTATTTTCTTAAATTCTGAATAAATGGAGTTATACAGTACTTTTATGTATGTGGCTTATGTTGCTCATCACGGTATCTGTATCACTTGCTTCTTCTTTATTACTCTAAAATATTTTATTTGCATAAATAAACCACAGTTTATTTATCCATTTTCCTATTGATGGATGTTTGAGTTGTTTTCACTTTTTGTCATGAATCAAGCTTCTGTGAACTTCCTTGTCCGTGGCTTAGAGAACACATAGCTTTCATAGCTCTTGGATGTACAGGCAGGAACACAGTGACTATGTCATATGATAGGTGCTGAGAGCTGCTAGGTATCCAGGTGGTCAATTAGGACTCTGAGCCAAACTAAAAGTGATACTAAGCCTTTATTCACTTATTGCAATAGTATAAGCAAGAGGTCAAAGAGGAAAAGGTTCCAGCCACCATAATGTTCCTTTTCTTTTCCCTCCACATAACAGCACTGGGCAAGAGTTACATGGATCAGCATAGACCAGGGTCACCCCATTTCCAAAGAAGCACGGAACAAAGGGTTTCTGCCATTTTATGGACCCAGGAGATAGAAGGAGAAAGAGGAAGAAGGCTTAGAAGTGGGAAAGAGCTGAGCACTGAATCAGGGTGCAAAAAAATTGGATGTTGCAAATGTTTTGTATTTTGATCTAGAGGATGTCACGAGTGACCAGTGACTATCTGGGCCAGTGGCACAGTGGGTAAAAATAATTTAACAAAACACTTGTAGGTAAAGAAAGGTAGAGTTATCAGAGAAAGCTGCAAAATAAGTTGTAAGGAAGCTGCAGGCAAGTTAGCAAGAGAGGAGTTGACAGCAAGGAGATAAAGGCTTGCTGGGGATTTTGTAGGACGGTGCCTGTGCTGTGTGCTGAAGAGGGGTTTATGTAGTGTTGATAATGCCAAGATTGCAATGAACTAACTTACAGGGGTCTGGTGATCAGCTGGGTGCAGGAGGATTGTGAGTTATTTGCACAGGACAGCTATGTGTCCTGGACCATGAAGAAAGGCAGACTTACAGCTTATCTGCTCTTACTTGTTGCTTTCCCTTGGTCCTACCAGCCTGACTCCTTTTCCCTAGTTAAGACTCTACAGGGGATGATTACACAGGTATGTGTTTGATGTATATATGTATGCATATGTGTGTAAAAATTCATTAACTTTTTCACTTAATATAAGTTTACTTTACGTACGGTTTACATAAAGTATATTGTACCTTAATTTTTAAAAATTCAAAGTAATGAGTACACTAAGCTATAGCATGGACAAACCTAATATATGAAAATTTTTTGAAAATCACAGAGGATATTGGAGAATCCCAAGATGGAATACAAAGTAGGATGAAACAATCTGACTGTATTACAAATATAAGAATCAAGAACTTCACTGAAGTGGATGGAGTAAAAAGGTGCTGACTAAAGGAACTTTGGGAACAAGTGGAGTCTGTCACACTAAAAGCAAAAGAAACTAGACACGGCATAGAATTATAGCTGATGCAGTTGTTACCCACAGGAGAACAGTTTAATAATTCCAAACATGCATACTGGAATGAAATAATTAAGCAAATGGATGGAAGTGGGAGGATGGGAGCCATGTTTCTCCTTGTTAGAGTAGAAGTTTACAGATAAGCAAGAGAAGAAAGTGTAAACCGAAAATAAAATTCTAAGCTGCCCAACTGAATGAACAGACTCCTCTCTTGGCCAAGGGGATCCCAAAGAACCCTGAAAAACTACTTCGAGTCACAACAGGAAGGGCGGGTCAGACATAATTTATTATCCCTCTTCCCTTTGGAGTTTAGGCACAACTGACCAAAATTAACATTAAAATAGAGGTCATAGATAAATAAAACAGATTCTTTGTAGCAATGAGATACCCAGCTCCAACGTGACCTTAGTTTATCATCACATGACAGAAAGCAGGAACTGATGGAAATAAAAGAATTTTACCGCAAAATGTATCTCTTTGACATATTTTGAAATGGCCCTACAAAGCCATCTCTTGTAGGGGAAATTTGTGCTCTGTAGAAAATCCCCTTCCTTTTGCAGGTGTTTTCCTGATTCAGAAGAGATTTAACTGAGTCTCACACCTTTCAAGGTCAGATAAGAGTCATTTACCATCTGTTCTGTCTGAAGCCTGCCACCTGGAAGCTGCATCTACATAAGAAGAATCTTGGCTCCCACAATCTTCCTTATCTTAACTCAAGCCTTTCTTTCTGCTGACTTTTACTCTCTAGGCAAAGCTCAATGCTTTCAACCAATTGCCAATCAGGAAACCTTTGAATCCACCTATGCCCAGTGTGTACACTCACTCCCCCATCCCACCCACTTCAAGATGCCCTGACTTTCCAGGCCAAAACAATGTATACCCCACATGTATTCATTTACATCTTTGCCTGTAACTTCTGTCTCCATAAAATGTATAAAACCAATCTGTAACACAACCACCTTGGGCACATGTTCTCTGGACTTCTTGAGGCCATGTCACAAGCCACGGTCACTCATACTTGGCTCAGAAGAAACCTTTTTAAATATGTTACAGTTTGGCTTTTTTCATTAACGGAGGCTAGAATGCTCCATGGATCATTACAGTTAGAGATTAGATGAATTACAGTTGGAGATATCAATATAAACTTAGGCTTAGCTTAATAGCAACATAGTTACATATAGAAATACTTATAGATATGTTTATATGCATGGGATAGTATATTCACATATGTCTCCTTGCTTTGTCAGGTGAGGGACCCAGTAGCAACAAAATGCCAGTAGCAACAAGCATACCTGGCACCCAAATCTCGGGTTTTTTAAAAATTTATTTATTATGCTTTAAGTTCTGGGGTACATGTGCAGAACGTGCAGGTTTGTTACATAGGTACACATGTGCCATGATGATTTAGTGCATCCATCACCCTGTCATCTACATTAGGTTATTTCTCCTAATGCTATCCCTCATCAATCCCCCCACCCTGCTATCCCTCCCCTAGCCCTCCACTCCCCGACAGGCCCTGGTATATGATGTTCCCTCCCTGTGCCCATGTGTTCTCATTGTTCAATACCCACTTATGAGTGAGAACATGCAGTGCATAATCCTGGTTTTTAAATACCATTCCCAATAAAAGGACCCAGGGCTCCTTGGAGAAATGGCTGTTTCTAGGGCTAGAGCAGGAAATACATAAGATGACCCTGAGTATCTTGTAGTGTCAGAGAATAAGAAAGTCCCCACTCTCTCCTTTAGAAAAACCCACAATGATGGGGCAGGTCAAACATATGCAGCAGCCAACTGAAAGAGATCCCAATGGCCGAAGCTAGAAAATGTGAGCAAATAACTGAAGTTGTATTGGATCACCCAAATTAAAAAAAAATTAATATCTATGAGTCCATACTGATATAAATAAATAAATAAATAAATAAATAAATCATAAAATAGAGAAGAGACAAGTATCCTATGCAAAATAATTCAGGACAATTTATCTAGATTATCTACCCTCAGGGAACATAATTCTCCACATTTTAAGTGTGGGCTGCACTTTATTGACTTTCTTCCAAAGAATATAGTACAGCAAGGGGGAGAGGTGAGTAATTTTACAGTGAAGAAACCTGGCAAACCACCACCTTGGCCAGGTTAACATCAACAGAGCTAAATCATATTGTTAATATGTACCCTTGCTGTGATAAGTATGGCACTTTAACTCTGTGGTCTGCCCTAAAAAAATCAGTACACCTGTCTAATCATGAGAAAACCATCAGGCAAATCCTAACGTAGAGAAATTCTATAAAATCCCTGACCAGTAATACTCCTCAAAACCATCAAGGTAATTAAAAACAAGGAAAATCTGAGAAATGATTATAGCCAAGAGAAGGTTAACATACCTTTTCTGGTTACATTATTCAGGTTATAATGCCCAGGATTTCTAAGACTACAAAGAAGAGTAACCTTTGTCCACCCTTCACTGACTAAGATTCCCCATATAAAACTGAATCCTGTGGCCTAAGCATTATGAATAGTATCCAATACTCAACAGAACTTAACAGTCTATGGAAAAACTATAGAAGATGCATCATTTAGTGATTACTCAACATACATTTTTTGGTTTCTTTTTGTTCTTTCTAACCTCATAGATTGTACGCCATCATTGGCTAAAGACACCACGGACTTGTTTGAATTTATATACAAATATAAAAAGCATTAGAAGCTGTAAAATGTTTGGGTACAGCCATATTCAGCACAGTCTTCACGGAGTGGATAGTGCAAAGGTTAAAGGGAGTGTTATTGAGAAGGTATAAATAGAAGACTTTAGACGGGCACAGTGGCTCACATTTATAATCCCAGCACTTTGGGAGGCTGAGTGGGCAGATCACCTGAAGTCAGGAGTTTAAGACCAGCCTAGCCAACATGGTGAAACCCTGTCTCTACTAAAAATACAAAAATTAGCCAGGTTTGGTGGTGGATGCCTGTAATTCCAGCTACTCAGGTGGCTGAGGCAGGGGAATCAGTTGAATGGGGAGGCGGAGGTTGCAGTGAGCTGAGATCGCGCCACTGCACTCCAGCCTGGGTGACTAAGTGTGACTCTGCCTCCAAAAAAAGAGAAAGACTCCATTTGTATTTGGTACATGGGTACCTATTTAAATTTTTTTTTTAAGTAAATGCATTAAAAAGTTGGGTTCAAATGTGAAACAATGTGCGGGTTAGGTTTTTCTTAAAGGGAGGTTGAAAGAAAAAGTAATCTCAGAAAGAGTTTTAAGAAAAAGGAGAATCATCTTTGTTAGATATTCAAAGGACTGTAAATTGGTCCATGTAAATTTGTTACAATTGAAAAATATTATATAATTATCTAGAACCTTTTTCTAATAGAACGGTAAGAATATTATTTAAATATATTCTCCTGGCCAGGCACAGTGGCTCACGCCTGTAATCTCAGGATTTTGGGAGGCTGAGGCAGGTGGATAACCAGAAGTCAGGAGCTTGATAACGGCCTGGCCATCCTGGTAAAACCCTGTCTCTACCCAAATTACAAAAATTAGCTGAGTGTGATGGCAAATGCCTATAATCCCAGCTACTTGGGAGGCTGAAGCAGGAGAATCTCTTGAACCTGGGAGGTGAAGGTTGCAGTGCACTAAGATCATGCCATTGCACTCCAGCCTGGGCAACAAGAGTGAAACTCTGTCTCAAAAAGTAAAAAATAAAAAATATAAATAAATAAATAAAATAAATATACTCTCTTGACCTTCTTGATTAAATGCCCAATCCAAAGTGGATTTTTAAAAAGCTACTGACGTTGCCAAATCAATTAATCTCTAAATTCTATTAAAACAACCAAACCAAATGTGTATGCAGACACTACTCAGTGGGAGACTGTATATAAGAATAAAAGAGAATTTAATTGTGATTAAATACAGTCAAGAAGGAATATATCTGGGTGTAAAGACTTAGCCAGAGTCTAATTTTTCTTAAGGTACAATAGCATGCCAGAACATTTTTTTAAATAGCTATTCAACAATATTAAATAAGATAAAATAGGATAAACACAGGTACTTTAACAAAATTCCATCTGTTTTTCAATCAGAAACTTTGAGAAAAATAACAAAAATTCATCTTTTCTAAAAGCTTCATTTATTCTTCAGCTATCTAGTATACTGAGGGTGATGAACTTAGTTTTTTGTTTTTGAACTTTTAGAATTAAATCAAACCTCATTTTCCAGACTAGCTTGCCTGACTTTCTTTTAAGTTCTTTATAAAGGAAGGAAGATAGTGGGTATCTATACCAAGAATGGAGAACCTACCACACTGGAGCTTTAGGGGTAACATAATTCTTGCTATCTCAGTTTCTCCTGTCAGTCTCTAAAGTTAAAAATTAAAGTTAAAAGTTGTCTCTAAAGTTAACAATTGATCAGTTAGGGAGCTGTGAATTATACTTAATTAGCTTTTGGTAGCAGCCAATAACTTCCATCATGTATCTGATATGCATTAGCTATACACACGGAGTAAAATTTTAAATTCCCTATTCATAAAGAGATTAATTTACCAATTTTTGTTTCCTAAGAGGGAAAAACAAACTCCTAAATTTTATTTTTATGTGGCCTTCAGTTTCTATTTAATCCATTGATTAAAATGGCCGTCAATGAAAAAAACATTTGTTTCTGTCACTACATCCAAGTATACATACAGATATAAGTGAAATATTCAGTCAGTGTTAAAATATGTAACCTTTATTTGAAAACAGCATTGTTTGGGAAAACAGTCCAGATGACTAATTCCTTACTATTACCATGAGTATGTAATTCCTTATTATTATCATTTGAGTATGTTGACACTGTGAAGACACAGTGACAGATTTGCAAGGGTAGACAGACCATAAAGACTGTCTTCAGGGTAGAGGGGTACGGACCTAGAATCAAGGGAGAAGTTTCTCTGCCTTATAACTTCCTTCTTAGTGCATGGAGAGAAAAACATTTTTCCTCACAAAACATAACTATCCATTCAAACTTATACTGATTTCATTCAGCATATTTCCATTTCTGTTTCCAATATCAAGGACTCTAGTTAGACATGAAGAGTTACAAAAAATGCAATCATAAAACATACAGAGCTAAATTGTTTCTTCTAAAATCCTAAACAATAAACAAGGTTGTATGTAATTGTACTCTAAAATTTTGCCTAAATACAATTCTTTACCAAAAAAGAAATTTATAAGCACTTAAGTAGAGGTCAGTCTAAAGGATTTGCCAGATCATTTGTTTCCTAGGCCTCAACTCCACTTACAAGATTCATTTCTGATTCCCAAAAATAGGTACAAATATTTGGGTTCTGATAAATCTGGATATTACACTAACAATCTTGGCAGTTAACACAAAAATCTACACTTCACATTTTAAAAGTTTAATTTGCTAATTCAATCAAACTTATGTGTGTTGTCTTATGCTTAAAATATAATAACTGTAAAGTATTACTCAAATATATCATTAAATTGTTACCCCCCAAAACTGCTAATATCTTAGGTCAGTGATTATTTAAAATAAGTTTCTCTACTATGCATGTATTGATATACAGAAAAAACACAAGTTTTCTAATTAAGAAGTTGTAATAGAGTAGCTAAAAATTGGCTTCCATGTAAAACTTTGATTAAGAATTCCATTTTGGGAAGAACTATGTTATAATTTTTAAAAATTAGGGTTTCATAGATATTGAAATTAAGATTGTGGACTAGCAGAATATATCACAGTGGTGCCACCAATACTCACTTGCTGGTTTCCAGAGCGTTCACTATTCACTACGTATTTCCCCTGTTTTCTGTCCATTCTTGAACTGCCAATATCACAAGCTTAACTCCGGAAATATTTTTCAGCCTCTTCATTGCCCTTTATACCTGCAACCTTGAGAAATAATTGAGTTGATTAATAGTAAATCTACTATGAGACATCAGTGCCAGTGTGGATTAGACTAAATAATAAATAATTATTCTTTGCATGGGATCCACCTTCAGGGAAGAAGTACAGTGTTAAGTAATCATGTAAAGAAACAAGAAAATCAATACCACCTCTGTAACTACACCCTCAATACTCCTCCCCAAACAGCCTGCTTAGGAGAAAGAAACTGCCTTCACATACATTTCTTCCTTCTCTCCCTATCACATCATCTCTCAGGCCTCTTCCTTCTGACCTCTAGAACAGCCCAAGACAGAAACAGAATTCAGGAATAAGTGAACGTTTCTGTTGTTTCTTTTCTAATATTTCTGTTGCTTCCTTCTAACCACATGTGACTGTTTTTTCCTCAAAGAAGAGGAAATAACTTTCAGAGGAAACAACTTTTAGACACTCACCACCCACTGCTCAAGTCTTGACCTTCTTGGGTGCCTTTCCATGCTCTACAACTTTTCCAGTCTATTCTCTTCCTCTCTCTGCTTCTGAAAAACATTAATCTGACTTGGCTTAGTCTTCTTCAAGCTCCAATACAGCACAGATAGTTAATCTGAGGAACAAATCTCTGCACATGTATTCACCAGGGTTCCTTTTTCTTCCCATCTTAGGGGCTCCAATGGGCATGGCCACCCAAACGATTACTTCTGATTGTGTTTATGACTTAATAACAGGGCACATGGGCAGATGAGGCTCTTCCAACTATTAAAAATTATACTACAAAGCAAAGGCTTTTTTCTTATCTGTAGAAATATCTTTGGTAGGATCTAAAAGACAATTGATAAGAGTTAAGAGATAATATTTAATCTCTGAAATGAAAATTATCAGTCCTCTCCCAATACATGTATCTAGGGAATCTGAAATAAAATTGGTACAGAAAGTTGTTTGTGAAGAATGGTGTTTAATAACCTAAAAGACTGAAATATCTCTTAAGTAGTAGTTAATCCACAGATTATTTCTTGCAAATGAAGCAACAAAGACAAAGTAGTTGTACTCTTCTGTGGAAAATGTCTCATGATCAGACATCTGTCAGGCTTCAAAGATAAGAACTATCTGTTGCAAGAGACCTGAGAGATCTTGTAG